TTTTGGCTGAACTGACCCATAATCGAGCCGTTGCCAACCCTAGACTTAGTCGATTGTTAACCGACTTAACAGACGTGACTTTTAGAACAACATGTCTATTCCGGGTTTTTGAGGTTTGTCTGAAAGGTGACGACTGTTCGAATGGCCATGAACAAGTCTATAAATAACCTGCATCTCTACCAGAAAATTCACACCATTTTCATTGCAAACTTTCTGTGCTTTGAATCTTATTCCCCTCTCTCTCGTTCTGATATTATTTCGAAGTCAAACACATTTCATTGAGTTCGTTGGAACTTCTGCAGATTGCAGTGCTACTTCTGTAAGAGACGAAAATTCGTTCTATCCTAGGAAACGATTGCTGAACGCTTTTAGCATCATTGAAAGCAGCAAATTCGTTTTAAGGAAACATCGTGAAGTCAGTGGGCTCGAATTATATTTTGGATCCTGTTGATCATTTCTTACATTCAGGTGATTCTGTCGAATTGTTTTCGAAAGAGTAACTTCAAACTCTAGAAATAACAGAGTTTAATCACCTCAATGGATTCTTTAATTAAACTAATATAAAACATACGACAAAAGATTGAAGACTCACTTGTACAATTTTAATACATTTATATTTCCGAATGATGAGGGAGGTTTATACAATTTTATAGACAATCCAATCCCCGACAAAACTTTCAAGAGGTCACTATTTTGGGTTTATGTTTGATATCTAAGTTCCCATGCTCTGACAAAGAATGATATTGATGCTCTATATCTGTTCAACTTCTAAATCATAAGCGTGAATCACACTATTCTTTTCTTGTGGCCTGGTTTATTCCCAAATAAGCTATTCAAATGCTTAGCCATACATGCTCATCTTTTACTTTTTGAAACATTACAAAGATTAATTTTACGCCCCTGCCTATGTACTAGGTCATGTGGTAAACAGGCAAGTAATATGTCACTCAAAGAGCAACTCTCAAACGTCACACAATCTCTTTTACATATTTAATTTGAGATGAATAGACTATGCTTTTAGATGTCTCGCGTAGAATGTTACTGTTATCCGATGTGATGCATCGCCTCTCCACTGCAGTATGTATTTGAGAAAATAGATAGCTAAAAAGTTGATACAAATTTTGAATCATATGAAATGTATAATTGAAAATAAATTTTTGATAAGAAATGAATTTTTTAAAAATAGGACGAAACAAGGACTTCATTGTCAAGTTGGATTGTTAAAATGCATTAGCGGCTGTAAATGTTCCATCATTCCTTCATTACGATTGGACTTGAATAGGTAGACAACCGTCTTCCATTAATGCCATTGATGCAAATTCTTTTGATAGGAAAAGTGGAACTAAGGTGAAAACATAGTTAAAACGTTGAATGCTTATGGCTTAAAGAAACCACTGCCAATGGCATTCAAACCAAAATTCTGAAGTGTAATGTGTACTTCACGATCTGGAATCCCTTTCCGACATGATCAACCATTCCAATTTTAGCTGTGTATTATTGCTGCTTAATCTGATCTTATAAAAAAATTTCAATCTTTATTTCCGGTATATATGTGAGTGCTTACAGAATTTATAGAAACAAGATGGGCGAAGAAGAATCAAGCAAAGAACCGATGCAATTCCTCAGCGGGAACAAGGAAAACACGTGTAACGACGACGTTTTGAACTCAAATTCCTATTCCAGCTACCGTAATGTCATCACCACCCTCTCCTCCTCGTCGGAGAACTCCCAATTGCCGGCTGCGGCCGAAGAACGGACCATCTCCGATCCCCTCCTGTTTCTACCTGACAATCCCTCCACCGAATCATATGTTGATGTCATCTTCAGCCCTCTGGATGACGGGTCGGCCATATCACCTACTTCCGAACCCGGAGAAATTATTGATGAATTAACAATTTTGCAAAAATCAAGAAAAACCAGCTCAGAGTATTTGAACGTCACCGTTTCCAATCCGCAAAAAGAGTCGGAATCCTCCAATTCGATTGTTCCGGGTGGCAACACGTATGTTACTTATTTGATTACCACGAATACGAATATTCCAGATTATGGAGGGTCTGATTTTAGAGTCCGGAGAAGGTTCAAGGACGTTGTTATACTCTCGGATCGCTTGAATGAAAGTTACAGAGGACTTTT